CAATTTGTTGGAGCGCAAAGAGGTGAAAGCAAAACTTAACGGTGACACCAACCAACAAATTGACTTGTTTTGGCGCAGAGCTCTGCGTGTGCCACAGACTGACGGATAGTTGTGCGAGCAGTTCTGTGCAGAGTTGCGTGACGAAGTCTTTATTTGTGACAGAGTACTGGCTGTTCAGCCTAATAGTCATATTCAATTAACTTGATATCTTCAGAGGTCTATACAAAACTGAACTGTGTCGACAGCCATGACGAATTGACTTGTTTTGAGCGCAGACCGCAAAGAGGTGAAAGCAAAACTGAACCGCGACGCCAACCAACGAATTGACTTTATTTGGCGCAGAGCTCTTCGTGTGTCACAGACTGACGGACAGTTGAGCGAGCAGTCCTGTGCAGAGTTGCGTGACGAAGTCTTTATTTGTGACAGAGTACTGGCTGTTCAGCCTAATAGTAATATTCAATAAACAGGATATCTTCAGAGCTCTATACAAAACTGAACCCGTGACGCCAACCATCAGCATCAACGTGTTTTGTACTTAAAGCTTTATTTACAAGGGTCTAACCAAAAATAAGCTGTGACGCCAACCAACGAATTGATTTGTTTCGGCGCAGAGCTATTGACTGCAAGCTTGAAACCGACGGAACCCGACCTGTCAGAGCAGCAATAGCCAGCTCCGCGGTCCCCTGGTACGTTACAAAGCCTAGTAGTCACATTGAACTGGCTTAAAATCCCCGAAGCTCTATACAAAACTGAACCTGTGTCGCCAGCCATGACGAATTGACTTGTTTTGAGCGCAGAGCGCAAAGAGGTGAAAGTAAAACTGAACGGTGACGCCAACCAACGAATTGACTTCTTTAGGCGCAGAGCTCTGCGGGGGTATCGCGGAGGGCTGTACGAGCAACCTCCACGGAGGAGCTCCGCAGAGCTCCTCCATGGAGGTTGCTCGTGCAGCCCCTATTGAGACTGGGACACACCCACAGATCGGGCACACCAAACTCCGCCCCCATGATATTTATCTTGATTTCGTTCCCGAGTTTCCACGTACAAGGGTTTTCACGTAAAAGTGTAACTGATCGTTCCCAAATCTTCACATATCCCGTATACAACAAACACCCTTAACATAGGTGTGAATCCCTTAGCAAAGTCTTACCTTGTTTCTTGTAAATTGATTCTTGCAGTGACTGTTTTACCTGAGATTTCTATACCTTGCCTCAAAATATTTCTGGCCTAAACCCCTGCTTCTAAATACACAACTGAGGACAATGTCGATAATCGTTGCCATGGAAAATCGATGTATTACCTCTATGACTGTCTATATGAACCTTGTGCATGGCCTGAGATGATGTTTGAAAAGGGTTCAACTGTCGTTTATCAGCAGTTCATAATAATGACTATTTACTTCAAGTATTATTTTACATACTGTGGAATCGGTTTACTATACTATGGAGACGTGACTTTGTATGTAGTATGTGCCTGACACAGGTGAACCCGATGGGTAAAGGTCAGTGATAGGCGCTTGCGCAGAGGGTCTAGTTCATGGCAGTCTGGAACCAAATGTAAAGAAGTCTTTTTCTTGGGAAATGTTGTGTTTTGGAGTTGGATTTTATAGGTTAGGGTTGTAGTATTTTTGTTGTTGAAAAAACAGACTTTCAGCCATGTTTGTGTTGTCTGGTTTGCTAAAGAAGAAATAGGTTTTCATGCTGTCATCAGCTGTCCAGGGGGGAGGGGGGCACTTCTCAATATTGTAATCAGGGCACAACCCATTACTTGCCTTTCCTATGTATATGGAAAAAGTGGCCAAATAAAGTCATACATCTGAGTTTTAGACCTTGAGAAACACACATTGGCAGGGTAGTGTAACCTTTAAAGTGTCCATTTAGACAAAAAAAAAACATATACAGTGGAACCATGCGTGGATTCTGTCTCTGATCAGTAAGCAGCCGCCGTGCGGTTTTAAGAAGAAATGCATGAGCTGAAATCTTGCGACAGTGTGGGAGAGACGCCTGTCTTCGACCTAAGGAGAATTCCATGATGAACTTATGATTTCCTATATGTTTAGTTCACTTGACAATCATTTATCATATCTTGCCAGCTGATGTTTCCACATTTAACGTGTTTGTTTGATAAACACATGATGAAAATATTCCTCGGTTAACGTAAACAACATCTCGCCTGCCCGATTAACAGCTGGCAAAATGCCTGCCCGCACACCCGCCATCACTGTAGGTAGTCAGAATGGACTCCAGTTGGGCAGATAGAAATACCGCGCCAAAATGAGTACTTAGAAGGACAACTTTGACGGGATATATCTCGTCTTCAAATACTTTTGGAATTCTCAACTGTCTGCTGCACACGGTTGTCTGACATGTTGACAACACGGGGACACATAACCAGCTTCATCTGACATGTCGTGACCGTACTACGACTTGTTGTGTGGAATATTCTAATATATAAGTACTCAATCCGGTGCGTTTGAAATTGTGACCAGCACAAGGCAGCTCGACAGCTTTAAACCTGTCTCCATGAGAGTTCTTGGCGTTACAACACGTGATTACATTTAAAACATTGAGTGCAGTTGATTGGGCTGACATTACTCGTAATTGTGTCAACATTTGGAATTGGTTTTCTTCTTGTGCATCATTTTCAATCGAGTCAAATTATTTGCAGCGAAAAATATCAGTGTCCTTTTTTGTGAAAACCGTGTAGATGGTATGTAGGATTATCTGATCACGTTGGTGGTCTTCATTACTTGTACATGCCACTGTACAGACCTATAATTGTTTTATTAATAGTCAGTAGTTTTATCCACCAGCTCTTATACATTGGGCTACAGCTAAGCCATAAAGGATAATGAAACAAAAAAAGTCAGTTTTGAGACAAGGCTTTTTAAACTATTGAAGTTGTAGCCATAATTCCGGAAGCCAAATCGAGGAGAAATTCAGGTTCAAATTCACTTAGCATTGGTTAGATTCCAGAAAACTCACGTCATTGCGAAACGGAAATGCGCTATTAATGTTGCTACTTATGTTAACGTAGAATTGTTTTAGAAAGAATGATCGTTGCCTGATTTTTTCATATTTTCATATTATCATTGAGAACCCTCACCGTTGTGACCCATGTCACATGGGAGAATATTGTGTGGATGGGCTCTCCATACACGGTTAGATATTCAAGTAACTGATAATCACTGAGTGAAAACAACAAGAAAATACACCACAATATCACTTTTAATAAAGACATACACATACCTCGTGCGGAAAATAATCCATTACGTCGGTTTATCCTGTATGATATAGAAAATCCGACAACTGTTCTTTGGCAAGGCTCCAGCACACTACTCGAGCGGTGCTACCCCAGTGACAAATGGACCTATTCTCTTCATGTCACATTCCTCAGATATTACACATCATAAACAATTCTAAGGTTGAACATCACCACATAGATACTACACATGGTCACGTCAAACTGTGCACGTAGTAGGTTAGCAAGCGTTGAACGATGAAGTATTAAATAAAAACCTTATTTATATCTCCTAATATTTTCTTTATTTTAGGATAATTACTGTAGTCGTAGCGTGCACCACGACACAGTTTCCAGGTTGCTTGAAATCGCAAACTAGATTCCTAGATGTTGGTCATAAAACTTGATTTTTAAATCTAACCAAGCTTACATGTTGTTATAATTTTCTGCAAAATATAGTCTTTATTGTATTGATACTACAGCCACAGGCACACTGAAACTTAGTGAAGCAATATAGGCTCCATATACATGTGATTAGTATAGATTTCAGCAAGTATTAAACTAAAAGCAGTAGACAAGTATAGTATATTGGGTGATAATACCAGAGCAAACTGAGGGTGGTACATGTAATATCAGAGCGAACACCCTTTCATCAGAAAAGAACAATAGTCTATGTCATTATCGACAGCCGATATGATTTTTCCAGCCAGGCATTCGGAATGTCGCTAATGATCTAGTAATTTTAATACTGGCTCACAGACAATATTTCTTGTTTTAATACTTCAGCTTTGCTTCCTGTTTGGCAGCTTCGTATCCAGAGGAGTTAGCGGTCAATGTTCATGCGAGGTTAATCTGGCGTGTTCCAAAATTACCGTGGCGCTATTGATGACAGGCTAGCCAGGCGCAGCTGCCACGATACTGTTTTACGCACGCTGGCACGGAATAGCTTTTAACTCGGAAGTTTGCAGTGCTCAATACAATCTCTTATGTCGCCGAGAACGGAGAAGAAATCATACGATGCATATTTCTTGTGGTTTTTCTCCGAAAAACCGTCTTACTATTTGGAAACATGTCAATGGTGCATTTCAAAGTTAGAACTCGCTTCGGGGAATTGTGGCCCATGTTTGGTAAGGCATGGCAGCCATTTTTGTAGAATAACAACCGGTGGTATTCCTGTTCAACTTTTTCAGAAAAGTTTTGTATCATTTACGTGGAGAAAACTAGTCTAACAATCTACATATTAAACTGTGTATGGTACACTGTAAAGTTGTATAGAAATCTGCGGTTGGTTTTCGAAGTTGGAGCAGTAAAGTACGTGAAAATGGCCATGATGTAAACTTGCTGACCGTTTCAGCTTTATTGTTAGTCTAACCTAATTGTGGACACAAGTGCTCCGTGGCTGGACAGGTCACATTTTGACCCGAGGAAAGTATGTGCGATATGAGGTTTCCTTACTATTTTGGGCAGACAGGATTTGTGAAGCTGGCGGTCATTATGCAAATCAGGAGCCCTCGAAACTGTATAAAAGGGGGAGAACCCGCTGCTCGGTCACCAAAGCTACAGGCTTCACCGAAGTGGTATCTTTTGTCAGCAAAGGTAGGTGATGGGTGCTGTACTGTGTGGGGAGGGCCGACTGCCTTGCCTTCTGCCATGGCATTTCACAGTGATTGTTCCTTGAGTGGAAGCCTTCTCTTGTATTCTGGATCGAATCTGACTCAACTGAATTCGCCGACTTTCAAAATTGGACTGAAGCCAGTACCCCTTAGCTGGCTATGGCCTTTTGTATTTCGGATTGAAGCATGATGGAAATTGGTGAAAACTTGTGGACCTCAGACAAGGGAATGCAAACGCCAGTGATTGTGCATGCTATACTACAACAGAACCAAAATTTCCCTGATGCTTCTCAATGGAACCAGATCGTACCAAATGTTCATGGACGCGTGTCCTCTTGCAGTGATTGGGTGGTCTGAAACAATTTCATTAATCAAGTTTCAAAATTGGGCTGAAGCATGAGCAGCCCAGTGAACAGCTTGCTTTTCAGAAGTTGGGGCTAGCTGAGGAAAGTAGGAGCGAGGGCAAACATTTTGATGAATGCACTGTCATAGCAGGAAGAAGCATGGGGATAGAAATAGAATAGCGAATTCTTCCTGCACTGCTCCGAATTGAACCAAATTATACTGATTGCTTAATGCATGAGCCTGATAATAAGCGTAGAAGGAATGGCATTGAGAGAGCATTGCATTCTATTAAACGCTCTATTCACGCTTTTCGTGATTCCGTTGTAACAAGCTTTGTTCACGTATGTTACAGGCGTAAAACACTCAACCGACCAACATGTGCGACGACGAAGAGGAGGAAGCTACTCCCCTGGTCTGCGACAATGGCTCCGGACTTGTGAAGGCTGGCTTCGCCGGCGACGACGCCCCCAGGGCTGTCTTCCCATCCATCGTCGGCCGCCCAAGGCATCAGGGCGTGATGGTCGGTATGGGTCAGAAGGACGCCTACGTGGGTGACGAGGCTCAGAGCAAGAGGGGTATCCTCACCCTGAAGTACCCAGTCGAGCACGGCATCGTCACCAACTGGGACGATATGGAGAAGGTCTGGCACCACACCTTCTACAACGAGCTGCGTATCGCCCCCGAGGAGAACCCCTGCCTTCTGACAGAGGCTCCCCTCAACCCCAAGGCCAACAGGGAAAAGATGACACAGGTCAGTGATTCAATGGGTGTCCCTTTTTTGTTTAAAGTTCTGTTCTTCTGTCAATGATACTGAAAAGCCCCATGGCAAACGACCAAACGGTGTCCTAAGGGTACTAAGTCCTTTCAATTTGCCTTGCATTTTTTGTGTCACCTACTTGGTATGTTCAGACCTTTTTCTAACAGCTGCTCTATTACGTACGTCCCTCAGATCATGTTCGAGACCTTCAACTCTCCCGCCATGTACGTGTGCATCCAAGCTGTCCTGTGCCTGTACGCTTCCGGTCGTACGACTGGTATCGTGCTGGACTCCGGCGATGGTGTCTCCCACACTGTGCCCATCTACGAGGGTTACGCCATGCCCCACGCCATCCTTCGTCTGGACCTGGCCGGCCGTGAGCTGACCAACTACCTGATGAGGGTCATGTGCGACCGTGGCTACGCCTTCGTCACCACCGGTAAGCTTCTTTTCATTGTCTCTTTCTTATTTTTCCCATTGCAATGTCAATTTCAACTACTGTCGTGTAAAGTAAAAGATTTCGCGGCAATACAAAAAATCCCAGTTAATGTAGTTCACATAATAACGTCTTTGCGTAGTCTTGTGATCTAACCAGGACGTTTTCTTGATATGCAGCTGAGCGTGAGATTGTCCGTGACATCAAGGAGAAGCTCGGCTACGTCGCCCTGGACTTCGAGCAGGAGATGTTGACGGCAGCTACCTCCACCTCCCTGGAGAAGAGCTACGAGCTGCCTGATGGACAGGTCATCACCATCGGCAACGAGAGGTTCCGCTGCGCTGAGGCTCTCTTCCAGCCTTCCTTCCTTGGTACGTCTAAGAATTTATGTTTTCCCCGTCTTGCTCTTTTCTTCGTCTTGTAAACCGTCCCTCGACATTTCACCGCAGTATGCATTTGTAAGATCTGTATGAAGTTCTATATGTAATCCCATAGTCGTGCGGCTGTGATATTTACACGTTTGTGTTGTCGTATCTGACAGGTATGGAGTCTGCTGGTGTTCATGAGACCGTCTACAACAGCATCATGAAGTGCGACATCGACGTCCGTAAGGACCTGTACGCCAACAACGTCCTGTCCGGCGGCACCACCATGTTCCCTGGCATCGGTGACCGTATGCAGAAGGAGATGGTGGCCCTTGCCCCCAGCACCATGAAGATCAAGATCATCGCTCCCCCAGAGAGGAAGTACTCCTGCTGGATCGGTGGCTCCATCTTGGCTTCCCTGTCCACCTTCGCATCCATGTGGATCAAGAAGTCCGAGTACGACGAGGCCGGCCCCGCCATTGTCCACCGCAAGTGCTTCTAAGCTCGTCAAGCTCCGTCCTACCGTCCCGACTGTTCGTTGTGCATGTATCGCTGTTTACTGTCTACTTCTGTTGTGTTCTTTCACAAATTCACGGGACCATGTAAACAAAACACATTGATCAGGCAAATAGTGAGGATTCGAAGCTAGAGGGTGGCACAGAGGTGGCGTTCTGTTGTTGAGAGCTGGTTTCTTCTGGAAACCTTCTATAAAGTTGGAGGATTGGAATAACGACTGGTTGCACGTGTTGGACCTTACGGCGGGAGGTCTGCCTTTGTTTTGTTCAACTTGAGTTCGTAAGTCACGTCTCCGTCACTGCTTTATTTGTAAATGTATATTTGTTGTCTACAATCCACACGAGTATTGTTGTACACCAACAACAAGGCTGCTAAACGTTGTAGTTCAAGCTCCAAAATGGCCGTTACATGAATTTTTTTTTGTGTATCGTCCTGTGTACTTGTAGTCAATAAAAATTCTTCTCCCGAATCTATTTGTGTTGGTTGTTCATTGATACAGTGGTCGTCATAGGTAGACTTATATAGATATAGCTATCAACTGTTTTATTTCATTGAAGATAATAATAATAATTCATAATGATATAATAAAAAACTCAAAGGTGACTGCTAAGGCCAGAGTTCATGCTCTTAATATTTCAAATGGTGTCAAAACCTAAAATGCACCTTGTGCCTACATAGATACATATGTTCTCCCAAATGTACCCTGAAATAAACAAATTAAACAGGATTCTTAATAATGTCCAATCTTATAAACATTAAAACATTGCCGATAACTCCTAGAACAATAAACCTTAAACAGGCATCGTCTTAAAAAGACAAACATTCGTTACTATAATAAAATAAAACTACAACATACTTATGTGCTATCTATTATTAGGTAAATACCTATGAATTGTTGGATGGGAAGTATGAATAAAGACAACCCAACTATAGTCCAAGAATCCACTTGCTGTTGCTGTCAAAAGCTATTTCAGGAGATCATGAGTTGTCCTTTGATCGCTGACGGATGGTGGTACATGTACGTGTCTATCCTTGTTCCGCTATCAAGTTTCATCCATGACATATTTTGAGTCGCCTTCGGTTGCAGAAGTTACAACCTACAGGCCAAAGAACACATCGTTTCGCGCCCCCTATGACGCGCCACCTAACGAAAATAGTACCCCACTAGTTGGCACAGATGTCGTCCTTGTCACCCAAGTGGCAAGGGTTCCAGTCCCGCAACATTCTTCTTGTAGCTGAAGACAACTGTTTCAATACAGAGAAACGACATTGTATTTTCCGTCCGTTACAAACAGTTCACTCCGTTACAAATGTCCTTGAGTGAACTGACCGTCTGCCAGGATTACAAGGACTATGATGATGATGATAAACAGTTCGAGTACGGACAATGAAATATAGAATACACGTAAGCGTATCTGTTGTACGATTGCGTGTGCATGGTGTGGCTCTAATATTCATTATAGGTTCCACGAGAGAACCAAATTGATAGACATTGGCTCACACTATGTACATCCAGATTGTTATGACATTGCAATAATACTTTTGTTGAATTGTGTTTTGTTTTCACATCACTAGCTCAAAGAAGTAAGCACAGTTTTTTTTCCAAACTCTGAAATTGTCACCCGAGTTGGAGTTTCTGGACATACAAGTATGTACGTATATCCGTGATATTTTGTGATGGATACAGCATTTATGAATTACATAACTAGAAAAACAGCTAAGGTAGCGATTTAAAAGTTTCAGTAAATCCCCCTAGCACATGTACCGGTCGCCGTACTGTAGGCGTGAGAGGTGACAACAGGTGCACGTGTATGAACATTGTTCGGTCGTGTGCCTAGGCTAGAGGAGGGAGGGGGGGCAATCACAATGGTTAGACCCACCACAGACCACATTAACAAGTCTCCTTTTAGAGACAGAAACTCTAGCACAAGTTTTCACATTTTATGTGCAAAGTGCATTGAACAGGCCAAGAGTTGGTTGCAAAATGATTGCAATGTTTTCGAGTTTCTGTACAAGGAAACCCCTGACATATATGCTACAGCTGAATAAATCATTATAGAATATAGAAATATCCGCCACGCTGTTTCCATCATTTGAGCAATCCTGGAGGTAATAATTAGACAAAAACGTAAAAATAGATAAAACATAATTCCTGCAGCGACCATGAGCCATTGCGCCCTCCCGGTGTCATCTGTACTCCACCGCCAGGCGACACGAACAACTGTTGTGTACAGGACAACAACTGGGTAAACAACAGGCGAGCGGCACGCGCGACACAGCGGGACACAACTCAGCCTTCTGTCTCTCAGCTATTCTCGGCTTTTTGCCTGAATAATCACGGCTCAAAGACAAGAAGCGCAGTCGAGTTATATTTGACAAACAATTTTTCGTTCCAATCTCCCTGTTTTACCTTACACAATACAGCAACCTTTCGAATGAAGAGATTGCACATTTTTGCCACACTGGGCTAAGTACTGGTCACAACAAACATGGTGTTGTCGATACAGTCAACAGGTATATACATAAAATAATTGTCATTAGACAATCTCTCCTCGCTTTCCATATATTAGAGATAAAAGAGCAGATATGTTCTCCGATGGAAGGTTTGTGTAGTTGCATTTGGTATGTGATTTTGGTTTATGACAAAAAGACATTGAAAGTAGAAGTAGCAAAGGTTTGAAGTAAAAAAAAAAGTTCAAAGTAAACAAAACATTTGCAGGAAAAGCATGACTGGTTTCTGATAATAACCTCTCAGCACATAGTTTGCATGACGTTTCACACAGCTGACCACAGAAGTTTGTGGAACCATGCCCATATTTGGCGGATTGCCCACACGTGTAATGTAGGACCATCCGAGAAAACAAATAGCAGGTGCATTCTAATAAAAACCCGCCGTACGTATATAAAGTAGCAAAGACGACATGCGACACAGTCAAACAACCCAGCGTCTGCGTCACGGGAGGTAAGTGTGCGGTTCTCTAGCTTGGTGTGTGTTTGTAGGAAACAGCATGTAGAACTCTGTAGTTAAACCATGTGGGCCATGGCGGTCAGCATCGAATTTGCGTATGAAACATTGCTGCTGGGATGATCGTAGAAAGGATCAAATTCGTTATTTGTAAATTGCAAGATAGCATTTGCTGAAGGCCTTGGGACGGAGTGAAAAATAGACACCCTAGCCTGGTCCGATAAAAGCATGTATCGGATGTGTTTTGGTACACAGTACTGTTTTCTGGAAGAGGTTCAGGGGCGTAAATGTGTGAATGCACTACTAGAGTTCCACGACCTTCGCCAAATCCTGTTAACATTATCGACTGACGAATTATGAATGTTTACCATTGATGGATGCCACAAGCTAGATGTCACCTCTGTTTGTAGCAAATACTAGTAGCCAGGGAGCCGAAAATCCAATCATTTTGAGGTCTAATCAAGACCTCATCACCTACCCAGTTTCATGACAATTCATCAATGGCTTGAGTTCTTGTGATATCATGACGTACACATACACGTATACATACGGACGCTAGAAATTTATTTTGTTTTCATCTGGCGAAGGTAATAAATTTGCCAGCTACAGAAATACACCTATTGATAAACGATGATACGTCCTAATTTCCTGTTGTGTGGTTTTATGACAGACGGGACAACTGCGCCCCTCCCACCACCCACCGCCATGTAGTGCGACCAAGCAGGGAGTGCACACTGTACAGACAGCCCAGCATCTCATGGCTTTTCCCGACTCTGGCTTTAATCACAGGTACAAGTTTAGAACATGTTATTTCATCTTTCTTGCTATACATTTTTTTATCTTAAAATCATGTATTATTTTGCATTGTCTGTGCTACTGCCATCTGAAGTAATGAATAAGAACTTCTAGCGGTGATTGATGAAAATTATTTAGAGGCTTGAGCCATTATGTTTCATACTTCAGACTTATATGTTTAACGTTAATAGTCGATGATTACAATAAAAATGGTCAAGTGCTGAGTTAAAGTGATGACCAATCAGCTACCATGAGGCTATTAACAACGTCCTCCTCAAAATATTTACTTTCATTTCTGATACAAGCTTATGTAGCATGACAGTAATTACAGACCCTTTTTCTTTACGTGTGACCAGGAACACACCAGGCCCACCACAGACATGGCAGACACTCACCACTTCAAGCAGAACGGACTGAGGTCACTACAAGATAGACAAACGTCGCAAGGTCACAACCAGGTCATCACCATTGGCAACAGGGTCATCCCAGTCCAACTTCACCAATAGGGGGCCTTCTTACATCAGTGTACCAAGGTGAGCAATAATGATATACTACTGATAACATGTTTGACATTTCATGTCGAATGATATGATTCGTTCTAGCCTACAGGATAACTTGACTGCGGTCCTGAAAATTAGCTTCCCGTTTTTAAGTGATGAATAAAAGCGCGTGCCATTGACAGAACATGATGGAGCGATGACAACTAAACAAACTTTGGGGTGAAGCGAGACACGTGTCATAACAAAACAGGCGCTTTGTATTTATTTGGACATATACAAGTCATTTCATCTAGCCATTATTCTAGACTGATGCTTTGGTTAGCCGTTGCTTCACTGTTGTAAACACTGTTAAAATTCTGTCCATGTCTTTTTGTAGGAATGAAACTGAGCGACCAGACGACGCACAGAAACAGCAATGGACCTGACGTCAACGTCTGAATGAATCTGACCGTCGGCACACGTACACGGCGACAACGCTACCGCAACACTCTGAGATGACAGTCTTCGATCACTATGCAAGTAACCGTAGCCTTCCTGTTCAGGTGCTATGGATACAGACTATTCAGTCTTTACATAAATCAACCATATCGATGCTCAAGCATCTGTAATGCTCGTAGATTGTATTGATAATAAGATATACTAGTATTCATATCAAATGCATGTAGAAATAGCCCGTGTCTCTCCTCCACCCACTTCTCCATACTACAGAACTTACCATTACGGTCACAACTTTAATGTATTCGCCTTGAAATAATTATTCATACTTGTTGTTCCCAAATGTACGTTTGCGTTTTGTTCCTGTACGTCCTTCTGTCCAACCATAACGTTAACTGTTGTCCTTCGTTCGTCTAGATTTTATGCGTCGAAATAATGTCGTCTGTCTGTTTCACCTCAAATTCACGTGCGTTGTAAATTTCTCCGATTGGAACCTATTTATTTATTTATCACAAATAAACTATTTTTCTATGTTTTTCATTCTCGTCTCTGTCTGTTTTGTAGTGTATTTTGTTCATTACTAAATATGTGACGTTTTGTATCTTGGTGTGTTTGTGCCTTGAGTGTTTGTCGTTCGTGCATGTAAGTGATGGTTATATTTTGATACGTGTGTTATATTGCGTTGTGTGATGTCAAGTGATCTGTACGTACATGTATGTATAACGTGCATCTGTATGTTGTACTGTGAGTAGTGTGTATCAGTTACCTGTAAGGTTTACATGTATGTTCATCAGTTGTTCGTCCCTGTTGCCAACTGCCCTTTACCTTGTAGAGTTTGTAGTCTCCCTGTTTTTGTCTGTCTCATTTTCTTTCTTGTTTGTGTCCGCCTTTATGTATGTCTGTGTCTTTCTATATCTGTCTCTGTCTTCTGCCTATAGCTGTCTTCCTGTCTCCTTCCTTCTGTCTGTTTGTATGTGCAAGTGTGTGTATATGCGTATGTCGTTAGTGATATGGGCTTTATTTTGTTCATAGATGACTCCGTGAATGTTTGTACATGTATATGGCACTTCAATGTTGATTGTTCGTCCCATTTGGCGATTGCCTTTTTCTTGTAGAGCTACAGTAGTTTGTGGGTCTCTCTCAATATCTGTCTGTTTTTCCGCCTTTATGTATACTTGTCTGCTTTTCTGTTTCTATCTCTTTCTTTATCTGCATTTGTGCCTTTCTGTCTCATTCTGTCTGTCTGTCTGTCTGTGTGTGTGTGTTCTCAGATGAACAGTATGTAGATATGTTGGTTTTCTGTTTGTCTCCACCCACCTTGTTTCGATGTTATCTTCAGGAGCTGCGTGTTCAAAGTCTTTATGTACGTTCAATCGTTACGTTACTTGTACTGTGTTTGACAGTAAGTGTCATGTTTTCTGTCAGTCGATCCCGTCACAGTTTGTCCATTTATAAAGTTGTACTCTGGTCTCTTGATTGATGTATTGCTTATTGTTTTGGTGGTGTTTAGGTGTCGCGTCTATTGTGCGCTGCAGCTGTATCCGTTCTTATTGTCTTGTCTTATCTTGTCTTGAGTTGTGGTGTCATGTAAGGTTGCCCTGTGCTTGTTTCGTCGGTGTGTTGGGTAATGAAACGTTTTCCTGTAGTGTAATGTAGTGTAGTGTAGTGTAGTGTAGTACAGTGTAGTGTAGTGTAGTGTAGTGTAGTGTAGTGTATGTCTGTCTCTCGTTGTTAGTCAATGGTGTGTATGCCCTCAGTCGCTTTAGCTGTGTAGTTATTGCAATGCCTGTGTAAATGTGTTCGTTGGGCAGTGTATGTTGGGTAACCAAATGTAGTTGGTAGAGGTACCATATTTGTCTTGGTAGAAGTGTCATGTTTTGTATCATGTTTGTAAAAATTTGTTCTGTCGGTGTATGTTCGTAGTTCGTAGTTGATAGAAGTGTGATAATGTCTGTGCAAACTCGTTCTTCCGTCGGTGTATGTTTGTAGTACCCCAATTTAGTTGGTAAAATGTTTGTTCAGATTCGTTCGTCTGTCGGTGTATGTTTGTAGTAACCTAATGTATTAGGTAGAAGTGTGACCATGTTTGTACAAATTTGTTCGTCTGTCGAATCCGTCTGTTCGTCAGTATCACTGTTTATATACCTCATTTCTCGCTGTGTCACTTGTATTATGGACTGTCCGTACTGTGATGTCCATTGTTTCATTTCGTGATAAATGCTGTTGTGTTAAAGTTTTGTATTTATTCTAGTCTCGTTTGCCTTTCTGTTTGTCCGTTGTGGTACTTTTTCTGTCTCCTTTTTGTCAAGTGACTCGTACTTAGCTGTCTATAATGTACCTGTCCTCCTGTTTGTCATCTGAAGTCTTTGCAGTACTGCCCAGTCCTATCGTGCGCTCCTGTTCTGTAGTTAAAGTGATTTCCGATTAGTGGCGCTCTTGTTTGTTGTCAGTTGATTCCTGTCTGTCATTGTAACCTGTCCCTTCTATCTGCCCCTGCGTTTGTTTTCTATACCTTTTCGTCTTTGTTTCGTTCGGTGGTGAAAAGATGTTTCCTGATGTCGGTACCCATGAACTGTTTATTCGTCCGTTATCGGTGGAATGTTGCTTTGTTAGGATCTCTGTTAGGCTGTAAAATGTCAAATCGCCATTTTCAATATTTTCCCTTTATTTGTACATTTATTTCGTCGTCCAGTGGTGAAAACCAATGTCTGTTTTGTTGCTGTTTTATCTAGTTATTTAAACTTCTCTCCGTCTAGTGTCGTTTGTGTCCATCTCGCTATCGTAGTGTTTTATGTTCTCCTTTTCGTGTTTATACGTAGACAGATGAAACATCAATTACCTATAGCTAATAGCTAATGATAGATATTCGAACAATACACTGTTCATAGAAGTGCTTGAGTTGAACCGATCTCTATCGGTACATGTTAGCTCGGAATAGGGGTGTGAGGAAATAGGTGTAGTGGAAATCAAAACTTATATCCCAAATGATTTTATTGAAAGCCTAATAATATAATAGATATCTTCAATAATCATAAATATCTTAATTGTAATAACATGTTCTATGCAATGTTTACTTATCAAATGGAATATACAAGCGTAAAAAGTATGCAAGAAAAATATGTCATCATTCAAATCAATGACTGTTTATTCGATATGTTGCGTGTAGTACATACTGATGTTAGTGTCATATAGTATACTCAGACTAGTGTTCGTTATATTTTAAGTACACCAATTGTCTACACTGAACCATGGCTTCAATTGAAGTCTTATGTAGTTACGGTATTTTCATATATGCGTGTTTCATAGCATTACTATTGTTGTATTGTTGTTAGGACAGTGGTATACAAACTACGAGTATGTAATGAAATATGCCTTCCGCTTGTTACTCAATAAAACGAATAATATATAAACGCAAGACAGCATTGGTCTTCTCTTCTTACACTGTAGGATAGATAGTGGTGCTGCACCTGCTACTACTGAGGCAAGTGCTAGTTGCCCAGCGACCCCTGGCGACTTGGCCAGTACCAGCAATCTACGTTAAACGCTTGACGTATGAAATGCTAAGTGTTTACAACTTTGCAATTGCATCTGGACAAAGTTTGTTAATGTGGGAAGACGACTGGTATCTCGATACGAGCTCTCTCTACATTTCCATTGTTTTATCAACAGTGTTACCAATAAGCACATGCTACATGACTCCTCAGACAGGTGTCATCCTTCTGATCTTGAAGGTTGACATATCCGGACGTGGTTCGTTCCTCTGTTCTTGCTCGTCACTGTCTGTGTCCTGGATGACGATCTTGATAGAGTGGTCATCCCGCATGTCTTCATCAGGGCTGCTGAACGACACATAGCTGGATGTGTCGCCTAGGTCAGGTTTCATGGGCTGAGAAAATGAGAATGCAGCTGAGGTTTAGTTAGAAATGGTTTATTCACAGATTCGCACAAAACTAAAACAACATTGCAGCCTCATAATACAATGTAAAAAAAGTCTGAATTACGCAGTTTCGGGGAATACACAATGCACAAAATATCATTAATATTTACAAACATAACCAGACTGATAAACAAGAATACGATATACAGACAGTAGTCGGGTGATCATACTGTAGAATATAAGTTATAAAACACTGTTCAGGAGTTTGGACAGGTACGGAATGACACTGTTCCTGTACCTGTCAGATCTTATTAGTACAAGACATGATATACATTCTTAAACAGGCTCAACTTCGATTTAGGAGGAATATTAGAAATATGGATGGTCATTTCATGGCTTAAAATAGCTTATTGTACACACAAACAAACCTGTCTGTCTTGTATGTCCTTCTCCAATTCCTTTGTAACGCGCATGCGGAACAGCAACAGACAGAGGACGAACGTCACGATCAGAGAGACTGCAAGGCACACCATGGCCGCTAGGGCGATCAGCTGCCACATGTCTGGGACTAAAAAACAGATAACAAAGCCCTCACAATTACTACAAGTGTCTAATTATTCTTTATTGCTGTATAGTATTTGGCTGACTGTAATGAAGTTGTATTGGCTGTAAGATGAAGAATATTAGTTTTGACGGAAAGGCTTCATGACTTAAACATCGTGATTGTGGGTAGCCCATAGAGAAACACAAGGAAGCAACTAGTCAGGCCATGTTGATTTGATTATATGGATGACATCCCCTGGGAACCCCAAAACTGGTGTGAGCGTGCGAATAAAAAAAGTTTGGCAAAAAAAAAGTTTCTTCATGAAATCTACGTGGTCATAAAGGTTGAACATATGCCTAAACACACACAGTATGGTATGGGGAATAATAATAGACTCTTCGTTTTCATTTCTTCATATTTTCTTCTTTTCCTGAATTGATTTCGGCATTCTATGACATAAGTATCGTTTTCCAGTACCTTTTTTTAAAATCAAGAGTTGCAATGATGATCAATTTTACGTACACATGCCAGAAATCTTGACCGTAGCTTCGGTGTCAGAGTCTGCACAATCTGCCGTGCGAAGTAACATGCCCCTATAAGGCACAATACCAGCAGGCGTGCCGGGAGGTCTAGAGGCAACACTATCCTCTGTCTCGTCCATGTTTGAGCCATCCTCTCTGATGTTCTCTGTAGCCATAGCGGGATGTGAGGACCAGATAACGCTGGGGGATACTTGGTTGACCTTCGACCTTCCCCTCGGTGACACGCGAGTTGGGATGTGAGTCCCGGTGTCCTTGAACGTGTCATGACCTTGAGGAAAAAACAACAACAAAGAATCACTATATGTGTCCTAAATTGTGACAATGTTCTTCTACCTCTCGGAGAAGCATTGACATACCTTTTGCATTATACCTTGTGAAGCATAACTGTGTTTTTGCATTTTTAAAAAGATATTGAAACGAATATACATACTGTTTACTTCTTGATCTGCCCAGGTCAGCTTCAGAAGAATCAAGAACAGAAGTGGTAGTGTGAACTTCATATTTCTTGCAACAATCGTCATCTTGCAACGCTGACAGAAACCTGCTTCATAGAACAGACAGACAAACAAACAAACAAACAAACAAACAAACAAACATTACTTTCAAACGTGATATGTTGAGTTACCTTCAAAGCATGTAATAAAACGTTTTCAAGCATGAATACACAGAAAAAGTCTAGGGTAAAATATGCTGAAACATTCTAAACACTTTGAATATATTTTACATACACATGTGGTGTCATTGCTATTTCATAAAGTTATAAAGTACTGGGAGTGGCTTGTAGCCTTTCTCAATAATGATGATGATCACCTTTGTTAACGGAATGTAAAAAAAATACAAAGTGTACCTGATGATCCGACTGCTCGCGATAGACCCCACACACTGCATACAACTCTCCAAGTCGGTAAACCCCAACACCACTGGGGAATGTATGCCACAATCTTCCTTCCTTGACCAACTGGGGAATTATGCTACAATCTTCCTTCCTTGGCCGGTTACATATAATGTTGCTTTTGTTGTAAGTGTATAGCGCTGAATGATGATAAGTTCGATGTGTATTGTGAGCTATAAATGGGCCAGCAGGATGTGATGTGATGTTGTGCCTGGAAATGTGTGAAGTGAGATAAGGAAGAACAGTGCCTAATGCAGGAAGTTAATGGACTGGACCCAAAAGGTCTGTAACTTAACTACACATCTGACTATTAAAGAGGAAAAAAATTGAAATGCATCCTTTTCATTTTGTAGCCTTCGAAGTTGAAATCATCTTAAGAATTGAGATGCAAGAATTGCACATACTGGGAAGCCATTCCTTTACTTTTGATAAAAAAAGTTAACCTTGCTTTCTCTTCAACATTTTGGAACACGAACTGGTGTACACATGAGCTTGTAGTTATACGTAAGAGGAATCAACTTCATAGACTTCAAATGTTAAGTGACATTCGATCAGATCTCCAGTTGTGATGACTGACTTAATCATGGTATAGGCAGTATTTAATATCAACCGACCCAGTGCCTGTGTTACCAGACTTATCCGCCAGTCTGCGTGTTTGTGCCGTTAGTCTAACTTTGATGCACACCAATATATACACGAGTGTTTAAACCAGTGCGTGAGGAAGGCGTTTAGTTTGCGTCGCTAGGCGTCGCTAGGCTTGGATCTCTAAGATTATACTGGATACCGACGTTATAACGGTGTTAAAGACCTATTTTGAAGAACAAATTGATTTGGGGTACATTGTATATATTTTGATTAGCTTGATGCCTGGTCCTAATCGTATTTGAAAGTTTCATGATCTTTGAAAAAAAATGTTGCAAAAAAGATGTACCACTGTATAATGCACAAAATTCCTACTTTCTTACTTTGTTTTGAAAAAGCAGTTGTTTCTGGGAGAAACTCAGTAAATTTGCCCGGAGTAAAACGTTTATGCATAAAGTGCTCTTTTTTCGTACGGGAGATGACCTAAATAATAAGTATAATTATTCAGCTGCATTTGTTTTCAAATTATTATGTAAATTGTATGGCACAGTTACTTTTAAAGTGTTTATGTCTACTGCTGAACTCGAGATATTGATCCCTTGCAGGAGCACCCCCTTCCTGTACTAAATACGAACCTTCCCTGAATTCGGTGCAAAGTTCAAGAACAAAAAGAGTCGCCTTTTAAAAGTAGAGAGATTTTCAATGTGAATTGACCTGGACACAATTCAAGGAGACCAACTCAGATAAATAAGGTAAGATTTACCTTTAAGTGAATATTTTCTTCATCCCAGAAATAAGCAATACGTTACATGCATGGCTTTGGCTCAGAGAAGCCTCATCCATACACACGTGCATACAATGTACGTGGCAGACACAAGCGTCTTTGACTTCTGTAGTTAGATTTCATCATCGGTAAACTACGTACTTGAATGTCTTTACAAATTGCTTTAGTTCACTGTTCGCAAACCGTACTCGGCAAATACCTCTAAACAATGTATAAGAGATATTTTGCAGCTTGTATAGAGTGCTGTGAGGTGCAACAGACTTTAGGTTAAAACGGCGCTGGCGACTTTTGGTACCCCCCCCCCCCCGCCCATACTCCCGTCATTTGTCTAAAATCAAGTGGTTTATGTGAGGACAGGAGTATTGTGACATGATAACCGTGTGGGATATCATTGGTCTTAACTTTCTAAGAAAATCACGAACAAGTCTACGATACTGAAGCTTTAGGCAAATGGCTTTATTCTGCCACATGGCAATACTCAAACATCGCGATCGTAACCATACGGATGCATTGAACCTGCTCTAACGCTCCTTTACATGGAGGAATCTGGTCCTTTTTTTATTTCAAAACTAGAGACGGGAAAATATCGTAATCGTCCCTCGGTAGCACTTATTCCCAACAATTCGCAAGAAGACATTTATGATAAGAAACGTTTTCTAAAGTTGTAATTCGGGCAATGGTCGCATGGTGCATTATTTAACAAGTCGGCTGGTGTTCGGGAGCACTCTGACCAGATTTAGGCCACGCGTACCTTTTGTATATGAATCAAACCGAATTTGAGTCAAATTGGAGCCAAATTTGAACCCTGAACACGCCCCCGAACTCTGCTGACTTACTCTGTGATGGTTGTCAGGTGTTTTGCTGACTTACGGTCGAAAACCAGCCAACTATGATAGAACCACCCGAACGCCTCACGAATGTAACATTTTGAAACATTCAGCTCGGCAGCCAAACCGTAGCCGAATTCGCCGAACGCCAGCCGACCCAGCCGAACGCCAGCCGACCCACTCCCAACCATAGCCAACCATCACCATTCTTTACCATTCCATTGTTTCACCGGTGTAACTAAAGTATTCAATCGATATTGCAATCAGTCGGGAAAAGAATGTGCATGAGTTGGCCTTTTCTACGATTAACAATGTTTATTTTACCACCGCCACGACCTGATGTGTTGATACCGCTTATCACCCCTTCCGAGGCAACTCTTACATCAAATAAGCACCGCTACATTATCATTGTTGACACATCAAGATATCAGTGCGGGGTCCAAGGGTAGTGGGAACAAACACTCTCATATGTGACTCTTGAGTCACCTTCTGTTAGTTCTCACATAATCAAATCGATACTTTGGAGTCCTTTGAATTAATGAGTTTCCAAGGTAGTCGAAAGTTAACAACTTAGGCCAGTAACAAACCTAAAAAACTCGTCCACAAAGAGGGGAATTAAATGCCTACACTATGTTGGAAAGTGGTAGCGTTAAAAAGCACTTGTGTGTAAGAAAATATATTCTGAAGATGAGCGTTACAGGTATATGTGTGTGTGTCATTTCTGGGCGAGAGAAAAAAATCCCTCGGTAGGGTCAATATGTGTTGAAAAGAAGGAAAATTTAGTTTTTAAACACTTGGTCCTCAACATTTCCCCTTTTTAAATACAACTAACAGAAGAAACTCAAACATTTCATTCCCGTTCCATCCGTTTCACGCCTTTATTAACAAATACATGCACCAGAACTTGTTTCAACAGCAATACGTACGTCAGTAGATAAAAGTTCTAGTTCTACCATTGAAATGTCGCGATCGCATAATCATAGAGAATAACATGTTTTGATAATTTGAAATACATTTCATGTGCTTTCCATAAACTAGCGATAAACAAACCCACAATTTGACCAGTGCACACAGAAAATCAACACATGTTGTAAGTACGTAGGGAACAACGTTGACCCATTAGGCGTAGCATAAAACCTATTAAGTTTGAAAATAAAGATATGTCGAAATTAACTTTGGGATGAAATGATCCTTTCAAATTTGTGTGGCGTCGGGTGCGTAGTGGAAGATCATCCGACTGTGAACCGGGAGACCCGGATTCGATTCCGAGTCGTACCGGGGGCATATCTGGACATGCGCCCCGACGTTGTGACTTTCCTCACTCCACCCAGGTGTGAATGGGTACCTAACTTCGGTTGGGGAAAGCCGTATTGAGGTCACCTTGTGGCGCCGAATGGCAGCCGCACAGACCCTTGCGGTAGTTCCACAAAAATGTGGAACAAATATGTATCATGTGTATTATGTGTATTATTATGTGTGTTATTACCATTTGTATTATCTGATTGTAAACCCTGCATCAATTCAGCACTACAAGGCTGCGATTGCATGGGTAATGTTTGGCCAATAAACCATTTTGGCCAATAAAACAAATGACAGTGACTGAAGAAATATTACCTACATGTACTGAAGGATTCAAACAAACTAATTGTGCTATATCAGAAATGTCACGGATACTGTGTTGTTGGTATAGTTATCTGTGGGTCATGCTTAATTGTCTTACACAAAGCAAAGTGGCATTATGCCATGAACCATGCAGAGATGCATAGATGCATAGATTTTGCATAGATGTCACTTAACATAAATATAATTTCTTCCTTACTCTACAAAATACACAATAATTTCCACATTACATTATTACTAACATTTTACTTTGTTACCTACGTTACATACTAGTAACGATATACTAGTAATGATATATAATCATAGTTTTCATAATACTTAACAAAGGAATCACGGGGTTTCCATTTTCTGATATGATGATTGGTATAAAATTGTAGGATGATATAAACGCTCTAAATTACAAAATAAATTCTTGTCGCAAAAACTTTATACGAGCAGTGTCCATCGCGTGAAATTGAATGTTATCTTATATATGTATTCATATATATTCATATTAATCTCCGACGAACAAATGCTCAGGGCTTGACTCTATTTCAGAATTATTTACAGAGCGTAATTACAACCAAGTTTCTTCAGGAACGTTTGGAGCTTTAAGTTCTAGCCATTCACGGATAGCCGTCTGTTGGTCGCTATTTAAGTCATTGCAAAAGCTGAAAAGTCTTTTATTGTCGCTGTATTCTTTCAGTCTTGGCTGGTTTCTTGTCATTTCATCCATCTGGGACTCGTCATAAAGTTGTCCGATTGGAGCGTCCCGTTTACCGAGCACCAGTATCGCGCATTCGACTGGACAAGAGAATACGTGTCAGTACTCATAATCTGATAGCACATAATGACATGATCTATGGGGTACAAAACAATGTTGCGTTCGTTACTACGCGTATTCCATCCTTTATGAAACCCACTATACTTTAAAACAGTACAACTAACCATTTGCGTTCTTGGCTTGTGTTGTGATGGCCCCAAGCTGGTCCGGTCCGTTATCATTTGAGAGTATAATTCCCCTCCCAGATGTCTGCTCTGCACAGCATAGAATGTAGTTGAAGCGCCCTAAGTCTGGCTTGCCGTTCCTGGTTTGTAGCCACAGTTGTTCGATGTCTACTTCGTCGTGTAGTAGAGAAGTCATTTTTTCATTCACCTTTTTAAGGGTTGAGTTGTTTTTAGCGGCGATACACAGCTTCTAGACGGGTCATATACCATTCAATTAGAATTGAAGTGTACGAAAGACACACACTAGTCGATATTAGTATTCAAATTGACATTATTTATTTTTAAAGTTCTATCGACATGGATCATTATATACAAATAAATTGTAATGCTGAGACAGAAAGACCATATTCTGGTAGGAGAGCCCATATACGAGGCAGAAATGACATATTTTCAACATTTCTCTCAATTAACAAATAAACTACTTTGTGGACGTATGATACAAAACAAGCTGCAAAAATATTCATCAAAGGCGCACACTAATTTTGTATTATTGATAACTGCATTGCTAAGGACACCTTAGAGCTGAAATCTATCTTACCTTTGTACGAGTACGTCCGACACGATTACGTACGCTAACAGTGCTGCCAGCACTGTTCAACGTATTGCGTTTCATTACCCCAACAATCATTTCTATTAACATGATCCCTACGACGAAACAGATCAACGTAACAAACGAGAAAGCGAATATACATATGCCACCGTGGAAGCATTGTGTGGCGGGCATTTTGGAATCTGTCGAGAACCTTCGTCTTGAGCCAATATGTCGAAATTAGCATAGTCAGTCTGTCACGTGCTTTAGAAATGGCGCCATCTTGCGGGTAGAACTAGACGTGAGGTTTTCTATTGGGTACTGCCATGACAATTCAAATACAAAAGCCAATAGAATCCAAGTTATCGCTGTTACAGAAACGTAGAAGTACTAGTCTGCAAAGTGTACAGATTTTCAGATGACATATTAGATATAAGTAAAACCATTCTTTATTTGCAAATAAGAGAAAGACATTGAGCCTATATATAGGTCACATCGGCCATAACTAACCAAACATACAGGGAAATACGTTTTTGCTTTTCGACCTCCATGGTTTAACAAATATTTGAGAAATGATTAAATATTTCAGTTTAAGAGATACAATGTATTTCCATTTGCAATGTGTTAGCTTTAAGATAGAGCATGCACCCATCAATATGATAACAAGTATGATAGCAGAAACACAATGCAAATCTGACAAAGTTATTAAAAACACACTCTAAATAATGTACTTCTCCTGAAGAACATACCACTAGTACCCACACGTACAATGCATAACATCTATTAAATTTAGTCTCTGTGGTGAAGCCAATTAACAATAGCATTCTTTTGTTCCTCATGTAATTTACTGCGGAAACTGAACAGTGTACGCCCGTCTATATACGCCTGCAGTTTTGTTTGGCTTTGCACCATCACATCCAGTTGAGACTTGTCATACAGTTCTCCTTCCTCGGGATCCTGTGTACCAAGAACCAATATTGCACAGTGGGCTGGAAGAACAATAATTTTATATTGTTATATTAGTATGTTGAATTGACCATAAGTATGTATACATGTATATCCTATTGCTAGGCAGTTACTTTCTATTCTGATTTAGTATGATAGTCTCATGACAATCTGTTCGTTTTCTTGTTTTGTATCAATGCCGTGATAAATCCTTTAAAAGTTACACCTTATCAAATCATACCACTGTCAATTTTTATTTCCCTCTCTCTGTGTCTTAGTATGAGGAAAAGGTTAGGCCTGGGAAAAGTGATGTTTTGTTCCGGTGTCAGTTATGAAAAAAAAAAACTAGGGTCAGTTGGTGGGGATTTTCTTTTCTTATTTCTTTTTTTTTGTATCGCGGCAAAAATGATCCAACAAATAAAGTTTAACATTGCATCGGGACTGTCTCTGTTTGATTGCAATTGTGGACAAAAATTTCAATAGGTTTACTGAAGACAAAATTGCTGCTAAAATGTTTTAGAATTCAGAGGGTTTGAAATTCAGATGTCTGATCAAAAACTTTATAGCGGTCGTTAAAAATAGGCTAGGTTCGGTGGGTTTTGCTACGGTCCGTCGGGAAACCAGAAACACATTTTTTTCCTACGCCTTATAAGAGAATTGTGGCGATTAAGACTTATTAACCTCTGGCATTCTCCGCGTGCGTTATGATGGCCCCAAGTTGGTCCGGTTCGTTATCAGAGAGTATAATTCCCCTCCCAGATGTTTCTGCACAGCACAGAATGTAGTTGGTGCGGCTGAAGTCAGGTTTGCTGTCTTGGGTTTCCAGTTTGAGCTTTTCAATCTCTATCCCTTCTGGCAGAAACGTCAACTCTTCGCTGACCCTGGTAAGTGTCGAGCTGTTCTGCGCCGCAATACACAGTTTCTAAAAGGTAATATACAATCCAAACAACAGGTTAAAATAAAAATGCGAGCTTTGCTTAAGCAATAGTTATTGTTACATTCCTATCAATACTATTCTTCAGGTGAGCAGTTATGTGTAAATACGTCTGCGATTAACTGTTACTTGTAGAGATATTGCATGTAAACGGCAGTACTTGACTACTGTATGTTATAATAATGATATAGTAATGATAATAATAATGATGTTTCATTTGGCTATTAAAATGGTTTGTAGTGGCCATTGACTGGTTCTGAATGTGTGGAATGCATTATCGTCGGCATTTTGCTAGCCGTTACTGGGGTTCGAAATACTGGGTACAGTATACCATGTAATTTCAGTAGTAAAGAAAGGAAAGTACTAGTATTAGAAATAGTACCTTAGCCCTCTTGAATAGTAAGCGTTGATATCCTCTATCAGGTCTGGTCACACAGGTGCAGGTGGAGCCATTGTTATCACAAATATCCTTTGCTTGTGTGAAGTTCAACATTAACCCTACTAGCGACCCTGCCCCAAGGCCGCTCAGTGCAAAAATCGCGAATAACCAACCACATTCAGAATTAATACAATGGGTGTCCATTTGTCTATCAGGATAGAACACAAATCAGTACTGTATCTTTTAGTTAAAAAGAATTGAAGTCTTTAGAAGTACAGAGGAGAGGAATGGAGGCGTTTTATTCTATACACGTATACTGCAAATAACCTGCCCTTGGTACTCCGCGCTGATTGGTCTTTGCCTGATACGGCTGTCTATTGGTTATTTACCTCCACTTTTTGATTGGCTGACTCCTGATTGATATTTACTCGAAATACTTAAATACACCAGTCCTGAAGGCCCACTGCCCACAGCATTTCTCCAGACAATACCAGCGCCAGTCCCTCAATATAAAGCAAAATGGCCGCTTCTAATTCAGAGATGAAAAGTCCTGAGATGAATATTCTGACCCTATCAGACCTGCGAGCGAAAGCTCGTAGCCTTCTTAGCGGAAGAAGTCAGGACTTAAACGTATTAGTTGTTGGTGAACCTGGTTCATGTAAATCAACGCTGATAAATTCCATGAACATGGCACTTGCTGAGCAATGGAGCGAGTTGACTTCATTTGGGCAGGGAGGTGCAAGTAACAACACTCTGCGCCTTGACAAGGTTCCTATGTTCGAAGACCAGTCCATGAAAGAGAAGGTGGAAAACTACGAGAAAAAGGTGTACTTTTGGGACTGCGCTGGTATGGAGAATAACCTGGATGAGGTTTATGGGGAGTTTATCGGCCTCACTTTAGATGGAAAAGTTCCAGACAAAACAAATGTATTCGACGTTCTCAAAGATAAGGATGGACTTATTTCGATCAGAGCTCTCCGAGAAAGATTTGCGACAGTGAACGAAGAGAATAGGTTTCATAGGCTCCTATTCCTGTGCACATGTGACAACCCGGCCCCAGAAAACTTGCTGAAACTGGTGAAGCAAACAACTGCTTCTCCCCATAACAAAGGCAGGAGTGAGTATCATCAGTTGTTTTATATAATTTATTATGCAAGCTGGCGTGAGTTTCTGTATAAACTTATATATATTATAACTTTACGATACTATGCCCCGCGAGGGGCCTTGCTCAGTACTCCATAGGTGTAGATGTAGATGTAGATATATATTTATGTCCTACCTGGGCCGCGATTACGTTCGATACGGGTGTTCCGGCCCGTGTGATAACTAGCGGTATGGCCCGGGGGTTCTTAACGCGTACGGCCCGGGCCTTCCAAATGTTCCATAGAACGATTCGAACGCGTTTCGGCCTAACCGCGTGCACCGATTTCGAAATTCGAATACAAAATTCGGACGTTGGAATTGATGTTGTCGCATTTTTTGGGTTTAGGGTCACCAAATTCTCGCTCATTTCGCATTGAAAGGCGTGTTTTCTTGGGTGGGTATGACATAAATAAAATACAACACGGTGTATTCCGCATCACCCTCGGTCCCAGCCCTCCCGCGGATCGGATCGGACGCGCGGTCGGGCTGGTACCTCGGGCGATACGGAATAC